CTGAGCTTTTTAAGGGTACTGTGGAAGAAATCATTGCCTGTGCCTGTATGTTGGAAAGTTGATCCTATGTTTTCTTATAGCAGTTGCAAAGTTGCAAAGTTTCTGGACTAAATTCCTAGGTCTTTGATCCATTTTAAGTTGACTTGTGTGTGAGTGAGAGAGAGGGGTCTATTTTTAATTTTTCTACATAATGGGTATTCAGTTTTCTAGCACCATATCATTTGTTAAACAGCCTGTCTTTTCTCCCAACATAAGTTTTCGCACCTTTGTCAAGAATCAGATAATTGTAGTATCTCTGTGAGTTTGTGCCTTCTGTTCTGATCCATTGGTCTTGGTGTCTGCTTTTATGCCAGTACCATGCTATTTTTGTTGCTATGGTTCTGTAGTATAATTTGAAGGTGGATATTGTGATGTCTCCAGTTTTACTCTTTTTCCTTAGAGTTGCTTTGGCTATTCTGTTTTGTTGTTGTTGTAGTTCTATATAAATTTTAGGATTGTTTTTTCTGGTTCTGTAAAGAATGTTATTGGTATTTTGATGAGGATTGTATTGAATCTGCAGATTGCTTTTGGCAGTATGGCCATTTTAACAATAATAATTATGTCTTTATGAACACAGGTGGGCTTTCCATCCTTTGGTGTCATTTTCTATTTCTTCTTCATGTTCTGTAAATTTCCTCATAGGTATCTTTCACCTCCTTGGTTGGATTTATTCCTAAATATGTTTTTTAATCTGTTGTAATTTTGTCCTGAATTCTTTCTCAGTGTATTTATTACTAGTATGTAGAAAAGCTGTTGCTTTTCATAGGTTGATTTTGTGTCCTGCTACTTTGCTGAATTTGCTTATAAGGTTTAGAAGTGTTCTGGTGGAGGATTTATTCTCTTCTAAGTATTGGATCCAGGTCATCTGCAAAGAGGGACAATTTTACTTCTTCCCTTTTTTATTTGTATTCCTTTTATTTCCTGTATTAGTTAGCTTTGCTCCACAAAGAACAACTTAGAGGAGGAAAAGTTTTATTTTGGCTGACAGTTTCAGAGATTCAGCCTATGGTTGGCTGGCTCCATAGCTCTGGGACTGAAATGAGACAGAACAGTATGACAGAGGAAAGCAGCTCAGGACATGGCAGCCAGAAAGCAGAGGAAGATATCTGCTTATCAGGTCAAAATATAAACCTCAAAGATATACCTCTAGTAACCTTCTTCCTCCAGCCACGTCCTACCTGCCTAAAGCTACCACCCACTTAATCCATGTCAGTGAATTAATCTATTGATTCGGTTATAGCTCTCATAATCTAATAATTTTATCTCTGAACATTATTCTTTTATTTCCCACATGAGCTTTTGGGGGACAACTCATATCTAAACTGTAATACTTCTTTTGCCTAATTTCTCTGGTTAGAATTAGTACTGTATTGAATAGGAGTAGTGAGTTGGGCATCCTTGTCTTGTTTCATTTAGAGGAAATGCTTTCAGATTTTCTCTATTCAGTATGATACTGGCTTTGGGTTTGTTGTATATAGTTTTTATGTCAAGATAATTTCCTTCTATTCCTAGTTTCTTCAAGGTTTTTTTGTCATGAATGGATGCTGAATTTTGTCTGACTTTTTCTGTATCTGTTGAGATGATTATATGATTTTTGTCTTTGATTCTATTTAAGTGGTATATTTATTGATTCACGTATGTTGAGTCATCTTAGCATTCCTGCAATGAAACCAACTTGATAATGATATATAATCTTTTAACGTGATGTTGAATTCAGTTTGCTAATATTTTATTAAGGGTTTTTATATCTGTTCACCAAGGATATTGGTGTGTAGTTTTCTTTCCTTGAGGATCCTTATCTGGTTTTAGTATCAGGGTCATGCTGGCTTTGGAGAGTAGGTTTAGAAGTGTTTCTTTCTGTTTCCTGGAATAATGTGAGGAGCATTGACATTAGTTTTTTTTTTTTTTTTTTTTTTCCTTCAAGGTCTGGTAGAATTGGCTGTGAATCCATCTGATCCTGGCTTTATTTTATTACTGCTTCTGTCTCATTGTTTGTTATTAGTCTGTTTAGGTTTTCTGTGTTCTCTTTATTCAATTTTGGTAGGTCATATATATCTAGAATAATTTATCTGTTTTTTCCAGATTTTCTAATTTATTGGAAAGCAAGTTTCAAAATAGTCTCAAATGATCCTCTTGAATTTCAGTGGCATCTAATGTAAATAGCTCTTGTTTTTTTTAAATTTTTCTAATTTTATTAATTTGGGTCTTTTTTTCTCTTGGTTATTTTGGTGAAGTGTTTATCAATCTTGTTTATCTTCTCAAAGAATCAACTTTTTGTTTCATTGATCCTTTGAGATTTTTGTTGTTCTATATTTCATTAATTTCAGCTTGGATATTTATTATTTTTTTCTTTATTTTAGAGTTTTGAGAATGATTTTTTTCCCTTGTTTTTCTAAGACTTTTAGATTTATCACTAGGTTGTTTGTTTGGGAATGTTCTGATTTTTTTTCTTAATCTTCTTTTAGTTGTAGGTAGACACAGTACCTTTATTTTATTTTTATGTGGTGTTGAGGATTGAACCCAGTGCCTTCCACATATGAGGCGAGCACCCTACCACTGAGCTATACTCCCAGCCCTGTTCTGACTTTTTAATGTAGGCACTTATCACTAAAAGCTTTCCTCTTAGAACTGTCTTTGCTTTGTCCCAGAGATTTTGGTGTATTGTATTTATATTCTCATTTTATTTTAAGAATATTAAAATTTTTAGTATGATTTCTTCAATGTCCCAGACATCATTCAAAAAACATATTGTTCAATCTCCATGTGTTTATATAGTTTCTATAGTTTTTCTTGGTTGTTGATTTCTAATTTCATTCCATTCCATTATGATCTGATAAGATATAAGGAATTATTTGAGGTTTTTTTTTTTTTTGTATTTTCTAATACTTGGCTTTGAGGTCAAAATATTCATTTTTGGAGAAAATTCCATGAGCAGCTGAGAAGAAAGTATATTAGATGAAATATTCTATAGATATGTTAAATCCACTTGATATATAGTATGATTTAACTGTAGTATCTTGATTTTTTAAATTTTTATTTACTTACTTTTATTTGAATTTGTTATATATGATAGCATAGTACATTACAATTCATATTACACACAGAGCACAATTTTTCACATATCTGGTTGTATACAAGGTATAGCCATACCTTTAGTGTCTTTATACATATACTTAGGGTAATGATGTTCCTCTCATCTCACCATCTTTTCTACCCCCATATCCCCTTCTTTCCCCTCCCCCCACTTGCCATATCTAGAGTTTGTGTAATCCTCCTGTGCTCCCCCCAACTCCAACCCAATTATGAATCAGCCTCCTTAAATCAGAGAGAACATTCAGCATTTGGTTTGGGGGGATTGGCTATGTAGTATCTTGATTTTATGTTTTCAGGACTTATCTAGTAATGAGACAGGTATATTGAACTCACTATTATTATATTGGGACCTAAGTGAGCCTTTATGTCAAATATTCTTTTTTATGTTTTTAGGTACACTGATGTTTGGGGTATATATATTTACTATCATTATTGTCTTGTTCCCTTTACTAATAAGTAGTGATTTTTGTTATCTTGAAGTATGCTTTGTCTTATATGAGAGTAGCTTTTCCTATTTGCTTTCAGGTTTTCTTTTCTTTTCTTTTCTTTTTCTTTTTCTTTTTTTTTTTTTTTTTGTCCTGGGGATTGAATCCAAGAGTTCTTTACCACTGAGCTATATTCCCAGTTCTTTTTACTTTATTTTTTTTAAATTTTGAGACAGAGTCTCACTAAGTTGCTGAGGGCCTTGATAAGTAACTGAAGCTGGCCTTGAACTTGTGATCCTCCTATCTCAGCCACCTGAGTTGCTGGGATAATAAGCATATGCCACCACACTTAGCAGTTTGGATTCCATTCACCTGGGATATAATTTTCCATATTTACTTTCGGCCTGTGGATGTCTTAGCCTGTGAGGTTTGTTTCTTGTTGGATCTTGTTTTTTTAATTCATTCTGCCAGCCTACGTCTTTTAATTGGAGGATTTCTGTCACTTTGATTTATTTCTAATGTTTTCTTTAATCCCGATTCTCATTGCATATTTATTTCTAATGAGATTTATTCTCTCTTGGTTATTTGGTTATTTCTTTCTCTCTTTTTTGTGTATAGGATTCTCTTAAGGATCCTATATTTTGCAATACTTGCTTAGTAGTCATAAGTTCCTTTAGTTTATGTTTATCTTGGAAAGTTTTTGTTCCTTGATTATGAAAGATAAGCTTTGGTGGATATAGCCGTCTTGGTTGGCAGTTATTTTCAGGGTTCATAATACATCTTTCCAAGTCTTCCTGGACTTTAGGGTTTACATTGAGAAATACGATATTATTTGGATTGGTTTTCCTTTAAATGTGGCTGGCATCTCATTCTTGTAGCTTTAAAATTTTTCTTTGATTTGTATTTTTTGCATTTTAATTCCATTGTGTTGTGGAGGGTTCTTTTTTTGATCCTGTCTATTTGGGGTTCTAAATACCTTTAGTATTTGAATATCCATCTTGTTCCAAATATTAGGAAAAGTATCTGCTGCTATTTTATCATTGCCATTACTCTGTATCTCTACTGCTTTCTCATTGCTTATGAAAGGAAATATTTATTTATGAAAAATTTCACAATATTTCAAAACCACAGTTGACTGTAGGTTAACTGAGACAATGTGAAACCACTGTCAAGAGGGGACTAATATATAAGGAAACTCAGTAAATTATACCATCTGTAATTCAGTTTATTATCCAAGTAAATTTTTTTTTCATAGCTGTGACTTTTGTGAAGGTATATTACAAGGAGGGGATTGTATTGTATATGTGTTTTCATCCATTTAAAAATTAGAACTTAATTTGGGAACAGGTAATTTAAAGTTCCTTTTATCTGAATTATGTGATTATTGAATGTTTGATGGCAAGTAAGCTTCAGTATATAAATATAAATCTTTTTTAAAAACAGAACTACCAATGAAATAAAAAACCTTCAGTACCTACCTCGAACCAGTGAGCCTCGTGAGATGCTCTTTGAAGACAGGACAAGGGCCCATGCAGATCATATAGGACAAGGTTTTGAACGACAGACAACAGCTGCTGTTGGAGTACTGAAGGCTGTGCACTGTGGAGAGTGGTATATATAACTACTGCTATTCTAATGAAAGACTTTTGGGGCTTCTAAAATTTTTCTTGGAAACTTTCTTAATAATTTTTCCATACTGGGGAAGAGAAGAATTTTAGTTACCCTCCCTGTGTTTGGGTATCCTAATTTCACATTGCTTTAAAGAAGGTTTTAAATTGTTAGATTCTAGCTGTAGTCATTTGGTTGAGTTAAATAATTTCATTTTCTATATGGGTAGAAGGTAAAAACACTAGGGTAAAAGGAAAATTAGATTTACTTTGTATTACTATATGGCCATTTATAAATGTAGTCTTTTTTTTTTTTTTAAGTAAATGTAGTCTTACTTAAGTTTCTCAACTACTTTTTGGCCCATTTTTATGACAAAAGAAAACTGAAGCTCAGGACTGTCAAACAGCTTCTTTATAGTCTTCTAGTTTATAAGTAGTAGAGCTGAGATGGATTTTGTGTTTTCTTTCTACTATTCTGCTTTATTGCTTCCTTTATTAAGTTAATATCTGTTTATTATTTGTCTCTGATTATTTTTCAGCTTTGCTTACAAGCTTCACTTTGAATTTCTTTTTCTTTAAAATATTTTTGGTCTTTATTATTTTTATTATTTTTGATTGATACATAGTAATTGTATATATTTATGGGGTACAAATGTGATATTTGATTTCATGTATATACTGTTTAATGATCAAATCAGGAAATTAGCTTATTTATCACCTTAAACTTATCATTAATGGTGAGTACTTTGAAAAATCCTTTCTGCTAGCTATTTCAAGATATACAGTGCATTATTGTTAACCATAGTCACCCTCCTGTGCAATAGAACACCAGAACTTTTTTCTCCGACTTCACTATAACTTTGTACTTGATCATGGACCTCTCCATCTCCTCCTTCCCCTCTGCTCTTCCCAGCCTCTGGTGAATAAAAAATAAGAAATATTTGGATAGATTAAATGTAGGTTATTCTATTTAATATGTTTAAGGTGCCTATACATATGTTATGTAACTTTTCATTCAGTAAATAGCAAAAATAGCAAAGCTATATTTATACTATAGCTATATTTATACATAAGTTTGTTTATATTTGAGTTTTAATTTTTTTTTTGTTTTTGTAGATGGACACAATACCTTTATTTTATTTATTTTTATGCAGTGCTGAGAGTATAACCCAGTGCCTCACATGTGCTAGGCAATTGCTGTACCACTGAGCTACACCCTCAGCCCTAGATATTTGTCAAGTTGAGTATTGTTTGGGTATGAAACATGAATTAGAATATGCTTTCTTATTAAAGCAGTGGAATCAGATAGCAAATAAACAGGGGACTTTTCTAACTAAAGAAACCATTTTTTATTCTGAAAACATAAAATATTCGTTGTGTAGTTCTCTGAAGTCTATTTTCCACATAGGGCAATATTATTTTCAAGGATTACTTATGCCAGATTGACACTTAATTAAAAAGAGAAATTTGTAGTAATATTTTATAAATTAATACTAAATAGAGAAGCTAGCCAATGTAAACTGATCATAAAAGGAATGAAGGTTTATCAATCTCAGGTATACAAAGTATCTGATATTGATTTGTACTAGGATCTTGAACTGATTCTAAGATCCTTAGGAAAAAAAAATATTAAGTATTTTTTACTTAATATTTTAAAATATTAAGTATTTCATAATTCTCACTGAGTTGTTTTTTAATTTTTATTTTTTGTAGTTATAGATGGACAGCATGCCTTTATTTTATTTTATTTGTTTCATTTTTATGTGGTGCTAAGGCTTGAACCCAGTGCCTCACACATGCTAGGCAAGTGCTCTGCCACTGAGCTACAGTCTCAGCCCCTCATTGAGTTATGCTTAAATGCTAATTTTCAAATAACTGTGGTTGTTTTTATAGTTTCTATGCTCTTTCTATTATCTAGTTTAAAATGTTAATTTTATCAAAGAGTAAAGACATTTATCTCTGTGGAAATCCTTAAAAATTCTTTCTATTTCAAATTAATGATGTCTTCCTCAAATGTTTTTAGATAAAGAATTTAACATTGGCATTAATATTTTCTTAGGGTAAAATCTGATTTGTAAATAGTGTTTCATAAAGTCAGCCACATATATTTCCTTTTGGAAATAAATATTCTCACTTCTAAAGCCCTCAGCACCTTTTAAAAATCTCTCAAGTCTGTTTTAAATTATTGTTGGTATGTGTTCTTTCTTTCCCTTTATATGGAAATTAAAGTTACAGATTAAATCCTGTGTTTCAAAGGCCTACCACAGATCCCAATAAACATTTATTGAATAAGAAACTACATTTGTGGTTACAAATTTCATAGTAAAAAAGGACTACTGTCAAATACTAACATGTCACATGACCAGATTTAAGAATATTCTTGAGACAGATTTGGAATGAGTGAGATATTGCTAGCTATGAAGTTTCTCACTTTGGAAAAATATAATTCGCTTCTCACATTAATAGTGCTTTTTAATCTTTTAATACTAAAGAGAAAATAATTTTGTTAATACTATTGAGGGCTTTATGGCTGTGTTAATCAGCTTTCCATCACTGTAAATGTCTGGGATAATTTAATATACAAGGAAATATGGCTTATGGATTTAGTTCCCAGTCCATTGCTTTAGTACTATAGTAAAGTAGTACATGATGGTACTAGCATGTGGCAGAACAAAATTGATTACCCCATGAACTGGGGAACAGAGAAGAGGACTGGGGTACCTTTCACTGAGCCCCACCTACCAAAGGTTCTACTACCTTCTAATAGTCCAAACTATAGTAGTGGCTGTGATGCAGATGGGTGCATATTCTTTTTTATTGTTTCTTTGATGTTAAAGCAAGTTATTAAACAAAGGAAATTTTTACATTTCTTGAGAAGACCTTAACTATTAAGGTATTGGATTTTTTTTTTCCTTTTTTCCTTTTCCTTTCAGTATTGGGGATTAAACCCAGGGAAACTCTTCTACTGAGCTATATCACTACCCCTTTTTATTTATTTATTTTTATTTTGGGACAGGGTCTCACTAAGTCCTGTGGTTAACCTTGAACTTGCAATCTTTCTGCCTCAGCTGCCTAAATTGCTAGGATTATAGGCATGTGTCACTGTGCCTGGTTTAGGATGTTAAATTCTTGACTACCTAAGAGCTAGGCTTAAGATCTACTTGAAGTAAAAGATTGGTATTGATAAAGACTACAAAGAAATCTCCAACTATATAGGGTCAAGCCTTGTGAATTATTACTCAAATTATATAAGTGTTTAGGCCTTATTAAGATACGACTTTATAGACATATATTTGGAAGTTGTTTCTTTGAAATTGTCTTTAGAAAATCATCATCATTATTGAAGTATAGTTTACATTCCGTAAAAAAAAATATACATTTTGATGTGTTTTGATGAATGTGTAGACTCATGTTGTTATTACCCCATAATGTACAGAATCTTTGGCTTTTATCATATCTTTTGCCAGTTAATCATCTCAATCCTTTCCCAGCTCCAGACATCCAAACATCCATTAGTCTACTTTTTGTTATTATAGATTAGTTTTGCCTCGTCTAGGATTTTGTTAACAGAATTATAAATATGCCTAAAATTAATTTTACCAGATATTTGCTGCTAAACACAGAAATAACAGTTCACCTGTGACTCTGGTAAACTTGATCATTAATTCTGGTGCTTATTTTTTTTTTTTAGTTGTAATTGGACACAATACCTTTATTTTATTTGTTTATTTAGTTTTAATGTGGTGCTGAGGATTGAACCCCTCGCCTCGCACGTGCTAGGTGAGCGTTTTACTGCTGAGCTACAACCCAAGCCCGCTTTAAAAAAAAAAAAAAAAAAAACTTTCAGTTTTCTCTATGTACAGTTATTTTGCCTTACCCTAACACTCTGCGGTTATATTAATATGTATTTACTGAAAAGAAATGAAAGCATATATGCATGTAAAGACTTTTAAGTAAATGTTAAAAACAACTTTATTAATTCAGAATAGAGATTACCTTGATAGTGGTGAGATGTCATTTTAGTACTATAGCATTGCTATATTTCTTGAGTGGTGGCTATACATCTTTGTATTTTAATGGGCAATTAGACTCTGTATACTCTTGTATGAATGAAATATTTCATTAAATAAATATTAAGAATGTAAAAAAAAACTTTATTCATAAAACTAAAAATTGAGAAAAACTCAAATCATCATTATTAGGTAAATGATATGGGTGGTGCTGGTGCTGGAGATTGAACCCAGGCCTTGTGCATGTGAGGGAAGCACTCTACCAACTGAGCTGTATCCCTAATTTTGATAATGTGGATTTTATCAAAATTGAAACTGTCCTTCAAATGATACTTTTGGGAAAATGAAAAAGCATATTACAGGCCAGTCATCTATCTATATGACTCATATCCATACATATAAAGAACTCTTAAAATTTAAAATAAATAGTGAACTCAGTTAAAACTGGGCAAAAAGTTTTATTTTTTTTTAATTTTTAATTTTTTGGTACTGGGGATTGAGCTCAGGAACACTTGACCACTGAGCCACATCCCCAGTCCTATTTTTTTGTATTTTATTTAGAGACAGGGTCTCACTGAGTTGCTTGGTGCCTCGCTTTTACTGAGGCTGGCTTTGAACTCACAATCCTCCTGTCTCAGTCTCCTGAGCTGCTGGGATTACAGGCATGCATCACTATGCCTGGCAAGACTGGGCAAAAGGTTTTAATAGACATTTTATAAAAGAAGATAACAAAGGGCTAGTAAACATTTAAAAAATGTTCAATGCAAATTAAAACTACAATGAGGTAACACAATACATCCATTAAAACAGCTTAGGGTGATAAAAACCAATAGTAGCCAAAGCTGACAAGGATGGAGATTAACCAGAACTTTCATTATGTTGCTGTGGGAACTGTTTGATGTGTCTTATCAAAGCAAATATAGGCGGGCACACTGGCACATGCCTGTAATCCCAGTTACTCAGGAGGCAGAGCAAGAGGAGCATTAGTTGAAAACCAGCCTCACCAATTTAGTGAGGCACTAGGTAACTTAGTGAGACTGTCACAAAATAAAAAAATAAAAAGGGTTAGGGATGTGGCTCAGTGATTAAGCACCCCTGGGTTCAATCCCTGGTACTTGGGGGGTGGGGGGTAAATATAAACTTAGAATAAGTGATGATGATGATGATGATGATGATTTTCTTTTTTTTTTTAAAGAGAGAGTGAGAGAGGAGGGAGAGAGAGAGAGAGAGAGAGAGAGAGAGAGAGAGAGAGAGAGAATTTTTCATATTTATTTTTTAGTTCTTGGCGGACACAACATCTTTGTTGGTATGTGGTGCTGCTAAGGATCGAACCCGGGCCGCACGCATGCCAGGCGAGCGCGCTACCGCTTGAGCCACATCCCAGCCCCATGATGATGATTTTCTAAAGACCCTGTAATTCTATAATTCTGTTATTGTTTTCTAGACTTAAAAACCTCTTAGTTATTCTGCATTACCATAATATCATTTATATTATGTTACATATTAGATAAAATATATGGCATATATGTATATATAGAGAACATAATATTGTATATGTCATAGAGCATGTATTAAAAAAAAAAAAGGACCCAAGATGTAGTTCAGTAGTAAAGCTCCCCTGGATTAAATACCTAGTGCTGGAGCAGGGCAGTTGTCAAGGGAATTGGTGACATTGTGAATGTTGATATTCACATATAATGAAAAATAATAAAATATAGAGTGACCAATACATATATACAGTAACCATACATACCTATATTTATATGCCTATATTAAGATACACATGGTATTTGTGGTAAATACAGCATAATATGTATAATATATAAAATAATTTTTAGTGCTGGATTCAGTTTGCTAATATTAGTGATTTGTGTTTATAAGTCATGCTCAAATTTATTAATTTTATTGATCTTTTCATACAGTGGTTTACTTCACTTTTTTTGTTTTCCATTTCATTGTTTCTGCTGTCTATTCTTTAAAGTTAAAAATAATTTGTTTTTGTAGCTTAAGTTGGAAACTTACATGATTAATTTGAGACTTTTCTTTTTTAATGTAAGTATTTAAAATTTTAAGCACTGCTTTAGCTACATTTCACACATTTTGGCATTTTCATTTTTACTCAGTTTGGGATATTTCTGACTTTTTGTTTGATGTCTTTTTTAACTTATGGGTTGTTGAGAAGAGTTTTGTTTAATTTCTAATGTCTGATTATTTTTTTTTCCCAGAGTGTGTAGTGGTGGTTTTTCTTTTTTTGGGGTGTGTGTGTGTGTGTGTGTGTGTGTGTGTGTGTGTGTGTGTGTGTTCACCATTGGAGTTGGAACAGGGTCTCATGTATGCTAGGCAACATTCTATCACTGAGCTATACCCTAGCTGTGTGTGTGTGTGTGTGTTTTGAAAGTTGTTCCATGTATATTGAAGCTTTATTACTAGGCTATTGTACATTTAGAGTTCCTTTTTGATGAATTGACCATTTTATCATTATAAGATGCCCTTTTTATTCTTGGTAATCCTTCTTGTCCTGAAGTCCTCTTTGTTTTACGTTAATATAGTCACTCCAGCTTTCCTATGATTTGTAATAGCATAACTTTTCTGTGTGATTTTTAATTTAATTCCCCCTATGGTGATAAAACATATTGTGTATGATTTTGGTCTTTCCTAATTTCTTAGAGTTTGTTTTATGAACTATCTTAATGTTTGATGTCCACTTAAAAGAATATATGTTTGGCTGATTTTTGAGGTGTAGTGCTCTAGAAATGTTAAGTCAGGTTTGTTGATTGTATGGTTAAAGTCTTGTATATCTTTATTGATTTTTGTCAACTTGTTAATCTCTAACTCTATAACACTGGATTTGTCTATTCCTCCTTCCAGTTTTTCTTGGTTTTGCTCCAGATATTTTTCTTTTGCAACAGCTTAATTGAGATACAATTTACATATGCTGTGATTCATCTATTTAAAGTGTACAAGGCAATGGTTATTAGTATATTCACAAAATTTTGCAACTATCACAATTATATAGAACATTAATTATAATTATTAATGATTAATTGCAGGACATTAAAGGGTACAGAAAGATGCTCTGTACCCTTTAATACCATACCTCTCCAGTTTCTCCATCTTCCCTAGCCTGGGTAATCACTATTCTACTTTTAATCTGTATGCATGTATTCTGAACGTTCCATATAAATGGAATTATATGCAATTTGGTCTTTTATGATTAGCTTTTCACTTAGCATCATGTTTTGAAGGTTGTTCATGTATTTTGAAGCTCTATTATTAAATAACTGTACATTTAGAGTTCCTTCTTGGTAAATTGACCATTTTATCATTATAAGATGCTCTTTTTAATCTTGGTAATCCTTCTTAACCTAAAGTCCTCTTTGTCTGATGTTAATATAGTCACTCCAGTTTTCCTGTGATTTGTATTTGCATATCTTTTCCTGTTCTTTTTCTTTAAAATTTAGCTGATAAGTCTATATTGTTATTTCATGTAGATATCATAAAATTTGGTGTTTTTCCCCTTCCAAATCCAGTGGCAATTTGTCTTTTTAAAAATTTTTATAATTTTAGTTGTAGATGGAGACAATACCTTTATTTATTTATTTATTTTTAATGTGGTGCTGAGGATTGAACCTAGTGCCTTATGGATGATAGGCAAGTGCTCTACCACTGAGCTATAACCCTAGCCTGGCAATCTGTTTTTTAATATGAATATTTAGAACTTTTATATCTAATATTAAAATTTGAATTTAAATTTATCATCTTGGTTTTCCCATTTATAGCTTCTCTTCTTTGTTCCTTTTTCTCTTAACTTTTTTTTGGTACCAGGGATTGAATCTAGGGGCACCTAACTACTGAGCCCCAGCCCCAGCCCTTTTTTGTATTTTATTTAGAGATGGTCTCACTGAGTTGCTTAGGACCTCACTGAGATGCTGAGGCTGGTTTTGAACTTTGAGCCCTCTTGCCTCAGCCTCCCAACCTGCTGGATTATAGGCATGTTCCATGGTACCTGGCTCCTTTTATCTTTTTTTAGTGTTCTATTTTACTTCTGTTGTTTGCTTACTAGCTATAGCTCTGTTTTATTTATTTGCTCTAAATTTATCACACTCTACCTTCAGATGATGTCATATCTCTTTATTTAATGTGTAAGAGACTTTCAACAATATATTCCCATTTATTTCCCCTTTACCCATTTCTTGTATGCTAATTGTTGTCAAATATTTTACTTTCCATATGCTGTAAACCCCACATTATGTTATTACTTTTGCTTTAAGGAATTATTTTCTATAGATTTAAAAAATGAGAATAAAATATCTTTCATATTTACTATTATGTGTGCTTTACATTCTTTTGCATAGATCTGCATTTTCATCTTAGTGTCATTCTTTTCAGCCTGTAGAAATTTCTTTAATATTCATTGTTATGCTGGTCTTCTGGTGACAGATTTTTCTTAACTTTTGTCTGTTTGAAAATGTTTATTTCTGAATATTATTTTTGGTGGGTACAGAATTCTAGATGGACTTTTCTCTCCAATACTTTAATTCACTCTCTTTTGGCTTGTATTATCATCGATGGGAAGTCTATATAATACAGTGACAGATTATCCTCTTTCCCTATGTATAATCCAGTGCATTTCTTCTAGATATTCTGTGCCATAGTTCTTTAGAAATTTGTTTATGATTTACTTTGGTGTAACTTTTCTTTGTATTTATGTTGCTTGGAGTTTAATTCAAAATCCATTTTTGAGCACCTTATGTAAACCTATATTCGTATATTCCTAGATAATTGAAGAATTTGGGGATTTTTAAAAATTATATTTTAAGACAGTGATGATGCCAGTGAACTATGAGTATTTTTCTAATGAAAATCTTATCAATTTATTAAGCATTACTTAAGGTTTTTATGCATTAATGCAGTTTATATCTTCTTTGGAAATACAATATTGCTTTTCTCCCATAGTTCTAATTTTTTAAAAAATTAGTAACTCTTAATAAATGTATATATTTATGGGGTACAATGTGATATTTGAGTACATGTATATAATATGCAGTGATAGAACAGGGTAATCACCTCAAACATTTATCATTTCTGTGTTGGGAACATTGTTTCTTTCTAAAAGATGTTTTGTGATATACTATTAAATTTAAAGTCAACCATAGTTCCTACTGTGCTCTAGACATAAGAAATTATTCCTTCTATTTGCATCCTTGTACCCATTAACAGTCTTCTTACCATTTTCCATCCTCCCACTTCCCAGCTGTACCACTGTTCTTTTTTTTAGTTTCTCCATATAATTGAGAACATACAATATATGTCTTTCTGTGCATGCCTTATTTCACTTAATATAATGTCCCCAACATCAAGTTTTTATTATTAGCAAATTTAGCACAACTTTTATAGAGTATTGATCATAACATTAATGTGAAAGAATTGTTTTGCATAATTTACCAATGCAAATCATTTTAATTTTTAAAAATCTCGTGACAGCTATGATAAAATGAAGTGAGTTGCTTTTCATCTGTCAACTCTTTGTTTAGATATATAGATTGTTTTTTCAATTACAATTGAAAAGAGAAATATAAGGGAATATTTTGATGTTGACCACAGTTATTTTTGCTTTGAGTTTATTAAGGCCTTAAAACAGAATTATTATTATTTTCTTAGGCCTGATCAACCCCGAATAACCAAAGATGTAATTTGTTTTCATGCTGAAGATTTCTTAGAAGTAGTTCAACGAATGCAGTTAGATTTACATGAACCTCCACTGTCCCAGGTATATTTTAAATAATTATTATCTTTAGATTAGGTTTTATTGTGGAAAATGCTTATATGCATTCCTTATTTCTTTTTTTTAGTGCGTCCAGTGGGTTGATGATGCAAAACTTAATCAACTGAGGAGAGAAGGCATTCGCTATGCCAGGATTCAGCTCTATGATAATGACATTTATTTTATTCCAAGGAATGTCGTTCATCAGTTCAAGACAGTTTCAGCAGTATGCAGTTTAGCATGGCATGTTCGGCTCAAATTATATCACTCAGAGGAGGACACATCTCAGAATACAGCTACTCATGAAACAGCCACATCACCAGATTCCATATCATCAGTTCTTGGACCTCACACGGACAACATGATTTGTGCTGTAAGCAAAACTTCCTTGGATTCTGTTTTTTCAGAAAAACTTCATTCTAAACATGAATTATCGCAGTTCAAACACGAACCTGTTTCATCTGTAAGAATCAAAGAAGAACCTGTGAATGTTAATATTTCTGAAAAGACTAAAGCACCGAATAATATGGATGGCAAGAATGTTAAAGCAAAATTGGATCATGTTCGGTTTACAGAATTTAAGATTGACATGGAATCTAAATTTGAAAATAGCAGCAAAGAATTAAAGGAAGAACTGTGTCCTGGAAGTCTCATAAGTCTAGTTGATACAAGGCAACTTAGTTCAGCACACTCAAATCAAGATAGAAAAGATGATGACATTTTGTGCTAAATTTGTACATAGCATTTAATTTTTTTTAAAAAAATAATAATGTAATAAATATTCATGAATTCTGAAAGCAAGCCAAGGACTTGCTCTCAAGTCTGTTACAAAATATAGTTTATGTAGCTTTGTAACATTCCTCAGTGCCTGTCCATAACTGTGAAGTATAAAGCACTTAGGGCCAGATGCACTGTAAACATTACAGGTTTAAACATAAAGCAGTCTATAAAAAAATCCATTTGAGTTGGAGTTGTAGATTTTAGAATGGAGCTGACATTAAAATAAATAAATATGTAGATATGTATATAAACATACATATATATCTGCATATTTATTTATTTATTTAGTAATATGAGCCAGAATTCTTTTTTGACAATTTAAAGCTTTTCCATACAGCTTATTTATACCAACTCCCCCCCCCCATTTTGGGTGTGTCAGCACTGTAGTGTAATTAGCTTTTTAAAAATCTTTTTAGTGTGATTTATACTGAAATGTGAGCCAATTAATAAAGGTTCATAATAATAAATGTTTTCTGTTGGGTCTGCGAAGACAAACTGATAATTCAGTTAAGTCATTTGTTTATATATTATGTTCCTCTCTGCTGATATAACTATTTAGAATGGTAAAGGAGTACAAATATATGTATTCAAATCTAGTAAATATTTAAACTCCCCACACTGTGCAAACATTTCAAAAAACCAAGATTCAGTTATAAAATCCTATATATGTGTATGTTATATATGGGAATGTATATATGTATATCATATTTTGCACAATTTCTTAAGTTGCTGAATAAGATGAATATGTGAAACTTCTTATCCCTATTTCCTGGAATACATTTTAAAATATTTATATTCAACATTAAGAAAGCAATTTTAAGTTATAGAAACAATTTAGAAAGTTAGGAGAAACAATATGTTAATGATGTCTAATCCTTCTAACTAATGAGATATGTGGCCAGAATATTTAGCCCTAACATAAATTTTCTTTGTGTACAGAATAAGAAGTTTAGAAAATTTTCTTATTAGTAAGCACTTGTGCTATAATACTAATGGTAACTAAGTAAAAAATTTTTTACAGAATATTTAGTTGTGAATAATTAAAGTCCTTTTTTGCATTTTTCTTGCAGAATGGGAGAAAAATATGGCAAAAATAAAATCGTAAAATAAGGGCAATGACAATGACTCAACTGCCATAAATAGAGATCCAATAACAAAATACTGTGTTACCTCATCTTTCTCAGGATCCCCTCCCTTCCCTAGCAAGGCAAACAACCTGGTGTACTTCCTTTTCTGAAGAAGATCTAGAAAGTAAATTGTGGTAGGAAACAGGATTGCCAGTGCCTAACTAAAGATGAGTAAGACAAGTATCTTTCAAGATGGACTTTAGCACTATTTCAGACTGCTTCCACTTTTGTAATTAAAAGTCAAACAGAAGTCTTTCACGTGTTCATTGTGTAAGGAACTCTGCTCATTGCATATCTCTTATGTTATTCTGGGCCCATTCTTTATTGATGACTTTCAGTTAGGATTCTTTGTGCTGCCTTTTGGGAGATGTTGCTATTTTTACTTCAGTGGTTTCTGTCCTGGCCTCATTTGTGGTACCCATCAAAACTTCTCATATGTCTAGTTAGGGAGAAGCCATATAGAAAAAGGTATTTCACTAGAACAAATAAAGATTAACTGCAACAATGATATTAGTTCTGGCCTCCAATTTAATAAAAAGGTGGGCAATATCACAGGCAATCTTGATGACTTATAGGAAATCAGTGTTTGCAACTTGGGAAGTTTCATGGGATAGGATGGTATAAATCATGATAATGTAAATAGAGGTTTGTTTTATATGTCACTGTCTCATCTTCTCTACCTATTTAATCTGTTTTAAGCAAAATTTAGGGATTTGCATCTACCTTTTTGGGAGACAAAAGTTCTTAACAAACTAGTATTGAAAAATAAGAAGGGATATGGTTAAACTGTTTTTTAATTGAAGGGTGATTTATTTAACTATGGTTTATTTCCAGTTTTCTAGTAGCATATACCTAGATATACTGAGGTCATACTGTAAGAAAATATCATTGGGGTATCTTCCCCAAATAAATGAGTCTTAAACTTTTAGAGGAAGACATCCAAAATAACTATAGTTATTGGTTTATATATATAGTTTCTTAATGCAGCATACAAACTCACCCATAATTTGAAAATTGAGTTGCTAATGCTTTTATCTTTGTGGAAGTGAAGAATATGTAAATAAGTGGGTTCAAGATATCAAATGATACAGCCTTGTTATCACCTTGAATAATGCTTATGTACCATGACTTATGAGTTATAATTTCAGTATCCTTTTCAGATGCAGTCTGGGAACTTTTTGACCACCTTTGTTCCATACAAATTTCTATTTTAATGTTGCATTATATTAATGGCTTTCTAGTTAGTACATTCCAGGTCTTTATGTGAATATAAGATTTTTGCTTTTATTTCCAACTTCTTGGACCAGAACAATAAAGCTCTTAAGATATAGTTTCTAAATGGTCATATGCTACATAGAATAAATAATTGTGTAAATTATCAAATGGATACACAGCCCTTTACATAAAAACTTAAATACCTCAGTGGTATCTGCTATAGTGCTCCCTCCCCCAATTTTGTTTATACCCTTTTAGGTATCTAAATAATATATATTCCACACTCAAATTAGCTGGTTAGCTAGCAAAAGAAACATTTGTAATATTTAGTTGCAAACTTTCCTAAAGCCATATATTCATTTTCTTCCTTGTCTCCAAGACTGTTGATCTTAAATAAAGATTAGGTTGATTTAGCTCAACACTTGTGAGCGCACGCGTGTATGTGTGTTTCTCTGTTGGAAATGTTTGTTTCCATGAAAAGGGGCTGTCATTGAGGTTAGGAAGGATTTATTTCTTAGGTTAAGTCTTAAGGTATTTCATTAGTGTTTCTAAGTGTAAAATTGTCCCCCCCCCCCCCCCCCCCCCCCCGCAAATACTTAGGGCAGATGAGATTTTGTAAGTTATAAATTAGCACTGTTTTGGTAAATCTGCCTTCAGTCATATCTCAAAATTCATTTTACATTTAGCAGCCAGGTGTGGTGGTGCACGCCAATAATCCCAGTGGCTCAGGAGGCTGAGGCAGGAGGATCATGTGTTCAAAGCCAGCCTCAGCAACTCAGCAGGGCCCCAAGCAACTCAGTGAGACCCTGTCTCTAAAATACAAAAAAGGGCTGGGGATGTGACTCAGTGGTTAAAAATCCCCTGTAACTAACAAACATAGAAACATTTTACATTTAGCAAAGGTGCAAAATTTGTTTTTGGAGTTTGAGAGGAATTTTTCTTGTCTTCCACCTTTAAATAAATATTTGATAACCATCATCTTTTTACCTTTGTTTTGTAATTATTATATTTTACATTTTATTCAATTTTAACATCTCAAGAAGTTCTCATTTTTCTGTCTTCAACAGACCATAAAATCTTGAGAGTGATTTCAATCTCAGAACCCTTTCCCCTCCTTTAATAGTCAAAAATTGACTTATGCCAATAGGAAAAAGAAAGTTAAAGATTAAGGTCTTTAGTTAGGTATAAATGGTTGGAATGCCATGGTAAATACCCCTGCTGTTACCCCTACAGAGGGGCTATTTCTGTCTCAGGAAGGAAGGACAAAAGTGCCATTCTTTTAAAAATACATTTAGGCTGCTAAAAAATGATGTGATCAATTTTAGATCTTTGGAATAGTAAAATAGTTTGTATTTTCTCCCACCTGAATTGCAACTGCTTTGATATGTAAACAGAATTTTACTGGTTTTAGAATGCATTGCTTATTTCATGAAAAAGTCATGTAAGTTAAGAGACTTACATATTTTCTCTACTGAGAGAACAAGGGAAGTAAGCATCTTGCTTATCAAGTTATTTTCCCTGTTTCAGCTCTTCCTGGACTTCATACCCAATCAAGGAATGTGAATGTGCTAAGAACATAATATGAGCAAATAGAATTTATGTTAATTAAAATTAAAAGTAAAACATATTACTAATGTTTCTTTACTGTGATCTGCCTACCAAAATTGCGGTGTTAAAATATTAAACTCTGGATCCCTCTATACATTTTGAAACTTAGGATTTATGCATCTATGTTTTAAAAATGTTAAATCTACAGTCTATAGTTCACTAGTATTGTATTAAGACTGTTAAGTGTGTAGACTCAGAAGCAAATCACAAATATTTTTTGTAATACAGTGTTGAAAATTTATTTGGACCAACAGTTTTATCCCCATGCCTTACAAAGGTCTTTTCTCTTGAAATTTTTATTTAACCATATTTTTACATGAAACATCTCAAGTCTCTGGTGCTGAAACAACAGCAACTTTTGTTTGAGTCTGGCTTTCTTAATGCTCATTTCCTAAGTTCTTAGAAATCTCTGCTTTTACTTCCCCATATTCTCATTCATTCTTCATCTCACTGCAATTTCATTTCAGCCCTCACATTTAATCACTCAGCTGAAATGTTTTTTTTTCAAAGGTAATTTAAGGCTGCCAAGTTCACTGGTAGCACTTCTTTTTAACCTTTGCAGCACTTGTCATCAAGTCATTTATTCCTTAAAACTCTTTATGATACATTCCTCCCTCCCCCCAGATTCTATCCCTGAAGTTATCTTCAAGATACCCATGACTTTCAGTTAGCTCGGTTTGTCACTTAAGTTTTAACGATCCATAATCAAATATAAATTCTTGTCTTCTACCTTGCCAAGTATTAGCTAGTGCTTTTCTAATTTGGTTGTTGGCATCACTTTCTCTCTACATAAGTCATCTCATAGTAATCTGAGTTTTCTTTTTCCCCTGTGTCAAATTTATCATGAGATTTTGAATTTGAATTTATTTCAAATTCATCTCCTATTGTTACATTACAGTCATAGTGGATGCTCATTTCACTTGGACTACTACAAAAGCTTAAAATGTTCTAGGTTACCTGTCATCATCTGCTTTTCCTTTCATACAATCTTTCTAAGGTATGTATGTTACTTTTCTGTTTCCATGATGGCTTCTTTCTTATAAAGGGCAAATGCATAGTATAGTACTGATATGATATAATCCTTCCTTTCTAGTCTCGTGTACCACAATGTCTTATATTTGATGTGCCCAGTTTTCAGCTTTACCAGATTGACAGTATAGTCATCCCACAGTATCTATGAGGGATAGTTCTGGTACTTCCTTTGGATACTAAAACTTCTGGATGCTTTCTTCTATAAAGGTCATATTATTTGTATAAAAGGTATATACATTTTCCTGTGTAAATAGTTGTCACACTGTATTGTTTAGGGAATAATGATAATAAGGATGTACATTTTCAGTACTTTTCCAAATATTTTCAGTTTGCAGTGGGTTCAGTCTGTGGATGAGGAACCTGTGATATGGAGGGCTGACTCTACTTGCCGTTTCCTCCATGTACTTTAAAAATCCTTTGCCTTTGCTGGGGAAATGTCAGGAAAACAACATAGTGAATTTTTTTTTTTTAAATTCCACTTAAACAGCGTCTGTATATTGTTTTTATTGCTTTTATCCCAACTGTTAACTCCCGGTAGGTGATAGAGAACCATTTCTCTTGGCTTTTTGATCCCCTTTGCACACACCATTTAACATGCATACTGGGTACAAGTTGGACTTTGGCTAAATCATGAGCTAGACATCAGGAATTTTCTTTATTTTTATCTCTAATATCTGATGTATATTATACTTGATATTCTGTAATGATTTGAAGGAACAAAAGAACCTTAGAGAGTATACATTATGTAGGTTTCTAGAATTTCAAGTCAGTTCCTAACTTTATAATGTAATTCTAGGATTTTAAAGGAACACAAAAATTAGATAAGCAGGCTCTAGAAAGAAACCAAATGTTTACTTTGTACCTCAGTCTTATGGAAAAATTTGAGAAGTTAGCTATTATATGTTCAAGCTCAGTGGGCAGTTTGAAGAAAGGAGATATGTGTAGGAAAATCAAACATTGTGAAACTTATCCTCAAATTTTCCCTTCAATTAGCTTTTCTGGAAATCTATTGAAAGTTATCACACATTAAAAATAAATCTTAATGATGCCTAAAATGATTAAAATGGCAAATGTCATATAAGTAGTACTTCACTATCTCAGGGCTGAGGCAGATTATAAGTCTTAATTGGTAAAATAAAATCTGTTTATCAAAGGCATTCTGTTTAAGCTGTGTGGTTCTCCTTACTGCTATTATAAAAAAATTTTAAAAATTGGATAAGCATAAAGGTAACCTACATTACAATATTTAGCCTATATCCATTGTGTTATAGGAATGGGACAAGGACATAATGGTGGCACATTTTCATAGAAAATCCTGTAAAACCACTTCATTGGGTTTCTAGGCTGAACTCATTTATAGCACTATAGGTGTGGTTCAATACATGTTTATTAGAAAGGAATAATGCACTTGTATAACCTTGAGAAAATTACTTCACTTAGTTTGTGTTCCTCATCTCTAAATGGGAATATAATATCTTTTCTATTAACTAGTGATGAAAATTAAATGACAAAACATGCTAAATAACAAAAAAACAAATGTGCCCAAAACAGCATATTGCATGACTGATTATAGACACTCTATTATAATATAATGTTAACTTCTCTATGTCTTCCTCTAATTTTGAGCAGAGGATAGGCATATGGGAAGAAAAAAATTGCATGAGTGGGTCAAAACAAGGTATGTTGGAGGCAGGTTGACATTAAAAAATAACTTACTGGTCACTATTTTGCTCAGGGTTGGCAATTCAAAATTATGTCATAGGGCTGTGGATATAACGTAGTTGGTTGCTTGCCTCACATGTATAAGGCCCTGGGTTCAATCCCCAGCACCACAAAAACAAAACAAAATCATGTCACAGATTACCTATACTGATAATAGGTGAAACACAAGTTTATGATTGTAGTATATAGATGATAGTGGTAGTAAACTGCCTTATGGTATAGTATAGTATGATTGACTAAGTGAAATGAGTAAAACATTAAAACATGAGGAAGTTCCCTCATAAAACTCTTAACCCTGTATTATCTTTACCTAGTATTTGATAATGAGCGTCTTCTCTTGTTTTCTTCCTGCAATAAAACACCTATTTGTAGAAACAGACTTGGAGTTAAAACTCATTCCTGGGCTTTACGTCTACATTATTTTAATGAGTAGGTGTTTCCCAACCAACCCCCTAGTTATAACAGTGTAACTTCTATTCATCTTAAATATTTAAGTCATGAAGTGTAAGGACACCAATGATAATTCATGCTCAGGTGATATTTTCTCTGCAAACATGATCAGTCAACATTAAAAGAAACTGACATTTTTGACTTGCTTCTTAATAGATTGATAAAATAATTTTTCTTTCAATAAAGAGAAAAAGCTGCTTTTCTTGATGACTCAGGTGCTTAGTGATAATGCCTGCCTGCCCTAGTATGAAATGTAAGATTTCCTCTACTTTGGCTATCACTTATGTTCATTCATTAGTCAACATCAATCAATTCCTTGTATTGCTACACTGTGAAAAAGCACAGTGGAAAACAGATCAAATTTGTAAGCTTAATAATTTTTGCTGTAATCCAAGGATAGATCTCTACTTCTTAAAGTTTTGTACAAGTGTGTTTCTTGATGCCTGAAAATTCTCCATCGATGGATTTCAGTTCATGTTTCATACAGCTCCTGAGCCTGCTATATTGGGCCTTATGTTCATGAAATGTTACTGAATAAGTTGTGGATTCTTTGAACATATCTTTTTTCATATTTTCAAGTCTTCTAAAAAGTTATTTTGTTCATAAGTTACTTTTACTCAGAAATTATAACAAGTCTTTTGCCCAAACCAGAGAAGTTGTATGTCCATAAGTTATATATCCTTGCTAACCTGGAAAAAATGGCCTCAGCAAGAGCCTTTAAGTTCTTTCAAGCAGAATGTATTTATCTTAGAGATGCCATTAGCAAATAACTGTATCATAAAGGAAGTATCCTCTGAAACCTAAAAAGGCATTTTTCTCTGCAATATTATTATCTCATTTGTCACCTGTATGCTTAATTTCTATCTTTAGTATCTTTCATCAACGTTTAAATGTATTGTTACTGAGGCACACACCAATGATAACTTATTGTGCTTCTTCAAGTCATTTAGTGTGGCAGTATACCAAATTAAATAAGAGAAGGGTTCTATTTTCGGGGAGCCCTTCGATGCCATTAAAATTGATTGATCCTCATGTGTACACAGATTGGTTATTGTGTTGCCTTTTATGTATAATCCCTATTAATGTCTTCCTTCCTTTTAGAACTGTTTGCAGGTGGAAAAGACCTTTTCTACCTTTTATACAGAAGTTCTGCTTTTCTGTCTTAGCTTAGGGGTCAGCAAACTACAACCTACACACCCAGTATGTTTTTATATGGCTTGTAGGGCAAGAATAGTTTTTCTAATTTTAAGTGATTGAAACAAAAATCAAAAGGATAGTATTGTGATATATGACAATTAAATGAAACTTAAATTTCATGTCCATGAAGTTTTACTGGAACACAGCCATGGCTGCTTTCTCTGCCACGAGGGCTGAGTTGGGTACTAACAAATTATATGGCCCTTTATAGAAAATTTTTGCTGACTCCTGTTCTGATTTTAAGTGGTACTGCCTTTTCTTTCCCCTGTGAGAGCTTATATAATACTTGCATGGATAGTTTTTTTTACTGGTTTCTTACAGCAATGAAAGCTTTATTTTTAATTTACTTAATTTGGATCTCTCAACTGAAACAGTAATCCTGCTTTAGGGTTATGAGATGCTTTGGCGTCTTGGGAATTTATTTTAAAGTACTGCAATCTCTGCTTTATTGGAATTGGTTAAGTATCCTGTGATCATATAATTTCTCAAACCAGGACACTTCTAGAAGTGAACAGGGCAGGAACTCCCTGGGACCCCAAGATGATAGGCATAAACTGGATCTGTCCTGACAGAACCAGGATGTAATATCTCCCTAAATTTAGGAATACACAAACTTTTGTTCTAACATGCCATCTCTATTCATTTGTCTCAAATAGAAGGTATAGTTAACAGTAAACTTAGCCTAGATAAAAATCTGTCAAACTCTCAAGATTCTTTTTGAATATAAACATGAAGTATCACCCCTATTCACTTTAGTAACTTTTTCTTCCATAATTTAAAGGCATAAATACCATTTACTTTGGTCATATCAGAGCCATGACAAATTTCTATCCAAAGATACAGATTAAAAGGTCTGTATTTACTTTTTTTTTTAGTTGTAGATGGACACAATACCTTTATTTTTATGTGGCGCTAAGGATTGAACCCAGTGCCTTACATGTGCTAGGCAAATGCTCTATCACTGAGGTATAAGCCCCAGCTCTGTATTTACAGTTTATTCAAGAGTCATTTGGAAAAATGAGGTCAAAAACAAACTTTATTTACATAGGGATAATAAGGATATCAACAACTCAAATATTGAATAATTCAGTTTTGGGTGAACTAGAAGTCCATGATTCATCAATCCTGTATTATAGAAGCAGTACAAAATTACATTTGGTATTTTCCCTCAGTTCTCTGGTATTGAAGCTTGCAAAGATTCAGAACACTTTAAAGGTTGTTGGAACAGCAATAGAAATGAGATGATGTACTTAGAAGTCAGTCTCTCACAAAAAAGACATTATATCCAAGTTCTGTTAAAGCCCCAGCCAGTAAGGCCCATAAGGGAATAAAGACATAAGACAGATTCATGGTAGTAAACTGTTCCAGTTTAGCACAGAGTGCCAGGCAGAAGGCTAATTTAAGTAACATCGCAATGAGGTACCAGGCTTTTTTTTTTAATATTGTGTGATCCATGTCGTGGGTCAAAGCCAGACTTACAGCGCCCAGCCATTTTCACAATCAACATGACAAGGAGGATAGTGTCAAATATCCAGACAGGAATAAATATGAGGAACCAGTTCCAAGGTGCCTTCTCATCCAGTTTCAACACCAACATGATCAAGAAGAGTAAGGTGAAGAGCCAGGTAAGTAGTACTCTTTGAGCCAAGGACATTCTCATTTAAACAGTTTAAAGAGGCTGTTGCAGGGTTGAAAAAAGGAAAATATGCCCTGAGAGGAGAAAAAAAAAAAAAAGTCAAGGTTTTGATGTCAGGAAAAAAACCCAACTACTTCCATTTTTTTTAATATTTAATTTTTTTTTGTAGTTGTAGATTGACAGAATGTCTTTGTTTATTTTTATGTGGTGTAGAGGATTGAACCTAGTGCCTCAGGAATGCTAGGTAAGCTTTCTGCCATTGAGGTACAGCCTCAGGCTTACTTTCATTCTTAATAAACAAGGTTGACCTTTTGCTACTCAAAGACTTCCTAATTTTGAAAATGTTCTATTTTTCATTTCAAAACTTCTTGGAGTAATCATTGAAACATCCATCATTTCTTATAACTCATTACTAAAATTTGAAAACCTACAGTTTTTCATTCAATTTCAAAGGGTACTAAAATAAAACATTTAAAACCAAAGTGATGAAAAGGGAGGTAAGATTTTGTTTTGTTTTGTTTTTTTATGGGTACCGGGGACTGAATTCAGGGGACTCGACCACCGAGCCACATCCTCAGCCCTATTTTATATTTTATTTAGAGGGGGTCACGCTGAGTTGCTTAGCACCTTGCCATTGCTGAGGCTGGCTTTGAACTCATGATCCTCCTGTCTCCGCCTCCCAAGCTCTTGGGATTAGAGGCGTGCACCACCAACTGGCCAGCTGAGTTTATAAAAGACAAAATGGTTAGTAAGTATTTTAAGAACATCGAGTAGAATTAAGATTGTAAAGAGGTCACTAGATTAAACAATATGAAAGGTATATCATTGGATTTTTTATGTAGTTTAATCTATGAATTTTATATTTTTAAACCCTTAGGTATTTTCTTATTAAAAGGGGCAACTTAAAAACCTTAGATGTTTTGTAATTACTTGATGGGGAATTATAATTAGAGTTGCTGCTTGTATCTGATCCATTTTTTTTTTATTTTACACTAAAACTACATGACTTACTATTGCTCTGGGATATACTCTAGTACGTGGAAGACCCAGTACCTGTTTTTTTAATTTTTTTTTTTTTTTTAGCTGGGACTACATGTGTGTGCCACCATGCCCAGCTTCCAGAATATTTTCTATTTCCCTTTCATTTTTCAATGCTAAAATCACTAATGCTTAATAACCTGGAATTTTGATTGGGAATTCATTAACTTACATCCTACATATAAACGTTATATTTCATCTTCACATATAAGTTTAAAGTGTGATTCTGTATTTGTTCAAGTTTTTATATATCAACCTTGCAAATATTTGGACTAGGGGTAAGTAATGAATGAGAAATCAGAAGACAGACTGTATGTAGTTGGGTGAGGAGTTAACAGAAGATAAAGAAATGGTAATAGTTGAGAAGATTTTATTCCCTTGAGCTATTTGGAAAAGAGAAAATGAAAAATAAGACATATGAGACTGAGAAAGGGACAGGAAAAAGTTTTAGGAAAGGAGAATTCTAAGTATGACTGGGGGATATAAGCCACTGGGAAATGATAGCTTAAATATGAGAAGACCTGATGGAAACATCAGAAAGTAGAAGGGAATGGAACAAAAGCATGGGTGATGGGAGTAGGAATAAAGGTGCAGGAAGAAAAAAAGTAAAGAAATTGGCTAGATGGACCAAATACCCTAGATTAGTGTGCTCAATTATATTTTAGAGCAAACGTTGATGTACCATACAACATCTTTAAACAGAACTTTAAATAGGGTGGCAATAATGGAGCAAGAGAGTATACAACATTTTTTTTTTTTTGGCACCAGAAATTGAACCCAGGGGTACTTAACCACTGAGCCACATCCCCAGCCTCTTTTTGTATTTTATTGGAGACAGGGTCTCCCAGAATTGCTTAGGGACTTGCTAAGTTGCTGAGGCTGGCATTTGATGTTGCTGTCCTCCTGCTTCAGCCTTCCAAACTGCTGGGATTACAAGTATGCGCTGTAGCCACCCAGCAACAACTCTTTTACTTCAATAGGTAGGAGTGTCCTAACTCATCTTTCCCCAGATATACTCATCTACTTGCACTTGTTTATTTAGTTTGCAAATGCTTCCTACTGCAGTGTGCTTGTTTCCAGGAAGGCATTTTCTATGCTGGTCTCCCTTCCCAGAAGCTGCTATATAATGGAAAGTGAGACTGAATTTGGAAGGTGGAAATCTGTAGACTGACTAATAACTATGGATAGATTTCATTGTGTAAACTGTTTGCTTAATCTTGATCTCCAATCTGGCCATTTTTGTGAACCTAAGAATAGGTTTATGATAATATACTCGTTTAAATGTAACTTTCCCATTTGCCATAATGTCCCCCTCCCTCCCCATAAAGGACTGAGTAGCTATTGATCATTGGAAGAGCACTGTACTCACCCAATAAACTTAAGAACTGGAAGTGAAAGGACATCAAGGGCAAAATGTTACTGTGGCTACAAAGCTTTATAATCTGAGATACAACAAAGTTCATATGCATTTTCAGTGAAATATTCTCAATAGGGGATGCACCTATTGATAAATGATGCTCGAAATATTGTGTATGCTTGGGCTGGGATTGTGGCTCAGGGGAGGAGTGCTTGCTAGCATGTATGAGGCACTGGGTTCAATCCTCAGCACCACATAAAAATAAATAAAGGTATTGTGTCCATCTGCAACTAAAAAAGAAATTAAAAAAAAAAGATTGTGTATGCTCACCTACATCAGTGACACAGGACCTCAGCTTGACATTTACATCTTCATTAATCTAATCAGCCATATTTGCTTCCTATTTTCCTTTCTTCTCAATGGACAATTGTGCACTCCAAAATTTGTTTAACATAGTTTCCACTTAATGTGGTTATTTCTAGTATCTGTAAGATAGTTAAATATTTCTCAAATGATTCCTTATCCACTGTTGAAACCTTCAGACTAGACCACATATGGTTAATCTAAAGGGCCACGACTACATTACCTGCGTCTCTACCAGGTGTGCGCGGAATCTTCTATGATGTTTTCTACACCACGCTCATTTTCCTTCTCTTGCTACTCCTAATACTTTTTCAAATGAACCTGCCTCATCTCAAAGACAGTTTGGCTTAATGCACCCACAAGTTTCTATCATATTAAGTTGCTTTCGAAAGGCTCGTGTTGTAACATTCTTGGCCAACCTGGCCATCTTTCAGAGGAACAGCAT